CAATTATATATAGTAAAATTAGCCACCAGGGCCAGCTTTATTGATAATTGTCAAATCAAATTCTAATATATTTTTTTTATTAATAGATTATAGTCAGAAGATATCCCAAATTAGGAATTGAGGTTCTAGAAAGATCTATACAAAATTCTTACAATTTAATTGGTTTATGCTTACTTTTTTTTATCGCTTTAATGTGAATTTTTATAGTAATTGCTTAATACTAAAAAGTCTTTGAACATATAATATTCGACTTCTAGTTTTGATAATCAAAGTTAATCAGTTGAGTTTCACTTTATTAGCCAAAGTAAATGAGACTTCAAATTACATATTCGCGTGTAGTTAATATATACAAAAAAACAGAATTTTACTAATTAAAACGTTTGTATTTTTTTTTTTTATAGTGTCTACTTACCAAAGGCCTAAAGCACATACTCTCAAATGCATTTTCACCAATCTTATTGAGCAGTATAAGACATTTCATTTAAGACTTTGCGAAACCAGTGAATTACAAATATGGCAACATGCTGATAGCACGAATGTAGCTAAGAACTTTTTAAAATATCATGATTATATTCTTAAACTTGCTGAACATTATTCTTCTTTAACAAATTATTCAATTTGTCAGATACATTACAATCAAGTAATTAATACTAATCAGTTTTATCAGCATATTATAGATTCTGTTCAAGAAAGTCGACTTTATGCTAGCTATGTTGATCTGATAGTTGAACTCAATCAAACTAAATGGTTTTTAGAATCTGTACAAGTGGAAAATCAGCAAAAATTACAAGAGATAATGACTCTCAATAACCAAATCACACAAATGCAACAGTATATAGAAAGCCAAAAGAATGAAATTAAAGCATTAAAGGGTCAATTACAAAAAGCTCGCGATGATATTATTGAAGTTCAAAATTTATATTCTGAACAATACGGGTACAATAAGATTCTTATTGAACAGTAGAATTCAAGATTTGCTAATCAACAAAAACATATTGATGCAATTGTTAAAATAGCAAATGCGGAGCATGTATCATTTTTTGACGATGTGAGAGCGTTGATTCAAGATAAAATAGGTTCTCTATGGAAAATCTATACTATATAGTTCTGGTGAGTGGCTCAATAAACATAATCAAGTCGTTGTCAAATTCATTGAAAATCTTGTTAAAAATGATAGAAGCACTAATATTTTAAGTCGAGAAAAGCTTTTTAAGGTTGCTTCTGTAGTTGATTCGCTATATGGTGCATGACATGAAAAATACGTATCAGAAATTCAGCTTGCTCTTTCGGCTATTAAGTATTCAATTGCACGATCAAAGATGATTATCAATATTGATAACCATATTACAAGTTCAAAAAGTTATTATCAGTTTCAAAAGTGAATAAAAGAGTTATCAAAGCATGAAGACCCATTATCTAAAGGTTTTTTGCTTCTTGCATTCGATAACAAATAGCGGAAACAGAAAAATTACCTTGATCGAGAATTTAATACCATGATTTACCATATTGTTACAAGCTTTGTTGTTTTTAATATATCATCACAAAATAGAATTCAGCATATTACTAATTCGCCTTGGGTATATAATTCTCTTAATATTCTACAATACGACGAACTTTTTGAAGTTAGTCCTCAAATGCAAGAAGTTGTCTACAAAGAATTATATAATTACCTTGATAATCTATTAAATTTATTGTCTCAAGAGAAATCATTCTCTATTAATACTATCGATACTCTTGTAGCATCTACAGGAACTAAAATTACCAATATGAAAGTATGCCCTAGCTACCATAAACGAGAAATTGAAAATCGAAGAAAAGTTTGTCCTGATTGTAGAACGTGATTACCAACATTAGCCGAAATTCAAAAGGAAAAAATAGTTGAAGAAGAAATTAGTAAGACTGACAATTTACTTGTTTTTAGGCTATATAATTTTGATAACAAATCAAGTTCAAGTTCTACTAATATTCTTAGAATCAGTATTACTCAGCGACGAGTTACTGATCAAGGAGTTAACATTCCCGATATTTATATTCCTGATCTGGTTAATATTAATCCCAATTCAATTGCTAATATTGAAAAAGTTCTTTTACATATAGAAACAATCACGGAAATTAAAAGTAGAGCTCGCAAGTGGATAGTAGTAATTTGTGATAGCGTTCCATACCATCATGCTCTAAAATTGAAAGAAAAATTTCTGTAGTTGGTTCTTATCTTAGGACTATTATATGAAGAAATGAATATGCTACGAGCATTTGTGGAGTTAAACTGGTTAGTAATAAATTTTTTACTACTGTACCACGAATTTTTATTATTAAATTGATGATTTTAATTGTTAGATATCAAAATACTTGATCTGCTACATTGATCTAAATTCTGATTTTAAAGGTCGCCCTGCTTTGTTTAAGATAATAGAAGTATGCAGGGGTGAATTAAAAGATTGTTAACTTTGGAATTTAAGAATTTTAATTACACGAAATGCTTTGGTCGATATTCTCTGAAATGCCAAGAAGATTACTAAAAATTAGCATTAACATTATATAAATAAATTCTATTTTAAGGAAATAGATATAAAATGGTTTGCAAGGTGCCAGGGCTATCGAACAGAAAATCAACTTTCGTATTTCAAAAAGTATGCAGATCATCATAAGTCTTGAGATTCTATCTGCAACATATACCATCAGGCGATTTCTATAGAACTTATATGGCCGTATGTAAAAAGCAATTCTGAGATATCGGTCGAAGGATATTTTGCTTGGGTCAACAATCAAGATTCGCTATATAAGTTAAAATATGAACAGGTTAGTATAATTAATTAATTTATTAAAAAAAAAAAAATTCTAAAATACTGAAATTACCTTTCATTATAATAGACATTCATTTACCTTCAGGCAATAATCAATTACCGGAAAGCTATTAGAACTAACAACCCTTTATTAAAATGAGCAGCTAGAAGAGTGTTTTCTCCTATTTGGTCTGCAAGACATTACTCTATATACCACCTTATAGAAGTTTCTGAGGAAATTCAATCGATTCGGCTTCGCCCTGAAATATGAGACATTATAGAGAAAAATTGGGTTGTCTCTAGATCTGGTATTTATGATCAACATCAAGGTTTAGATGCAGTTATTGAAGAGGTAAACAAGACCTTAAAAACTCTAATACCCCCCATTCTACAACATCACCATTGGGTAACTGCAGCACGTAATTGTAAAAAATTTCTTGAAGTAATATCTTCATTTTAATTAAATTACCTTATATATGTTTTTACTTAAAATTTTATAATAATTTATAGCTTAGAAATAATTTATTTGAAATAATCGGGTATAATGACTCTCAAGCCTCAGGATCAAGATCTTGGCCAGAATCGTCTATAGAATGTCAAAGATTTCGAACTTATCTTCGAAGTCTTGAATTTGTTAGCCAGAGTCTTGAAGAATATGGATTAAATGAAAATCTAAAAGATTTTTCATATTTAGCAAAACAAGCTTGTCAAGATTTTATTGTTAAAATATTTATTAATAAAAATAATCTACTATTATTTAGGCTAATACCGATTATACAACAAGAAGCTGAAACATAAAATAATGAAGAAAATTTGAAAAGGCCTGAAATTTTGGTAAAGATAAAAGTTCTTCTTGAGCAGCTTAGCGAAGATATTCAAAAAAATATACTAAGTTGGAGTCGAAAAATCAAGGTGAATTGTTAAACATATTACAAGAGGTAAAGTACTTATTTAATTCAGATGAATTTGATAACGAATCTAGTGATCAAAATACTAAAACAAATTAGATTATACATTACTGCAATAAATAATTTTTAATTATTTTAGCATTTATTAAAATTTTTTTTGTTTTTAAATAAATTATTTTTAATATAAATAAATAATCGAGATATAATTTTATTTATGAATTTGATAATAACGCCTTTATTCCAAAATAAATAATAATACAGTAATAATGCCCAGATATATTATTACATTAATTATCGACATACAAAAAAATATAACACAGAAAACACAGAGATCTAGAAAATACATATATAATAATGATAATAAGAATAGAATTTAGCGAATAGATCAACGATTAAATACCCAGTATGTATTTCAGTTCTAGTAAAAAAAAAAATTAAAAAATCTTAAAAATAGTAATATTTGTAAACTTAAAAAAAACTTAGCAATATGGTAGGTGGCCGGACCGTTTGATTGTTATAGCTGTTTTCATAAATTCTGGAACATCTGGCAAAAACTTGACTGACCGAATATTTGCCGGTTCGATAAGTTTTAAGATAAACTTCTGATTCGGGTATGATTACAGCAAATGAATCAAAACTTATCGAATCAGCAAATATTCAGTTGGTCAATTTTTTGCCAGATGTCCCAGAATTTATGAAAACAGCTGTAAATTTATTATTGCTGTAAATTCAAAGTCGGCAGGTGTTCTTGTAAAGTGCACTTATGCTTTTCGCTATCTGATCCAAGATCATTTTAAGATTAAAACCCTTAAGCGTAGCATTTTTCTAAAGTTTTGTTCTAAAATCCTTTATATAAAGATTCAAAAAATTAGTAATATTCTTCAAGTACTTTTATTTTAAACACTACACTCAACATAAAATGCGTTAAGTTCAATAATTACCACTTAAGATCGAAAGTTTTTTAGAATTCTGTGCTATCTGTGCAATGAAAAGCGGGTAAAATCAGTATTAAATAAAAAAGGTTAAACCAGTAATAAAGACTTATTTAGCGCTCTTATAAGTTGAAACTATGCTGTACTATATGTAAAGTGTGCAATTCAAACTATAGCAATGCTATCTGTATGATTTTATCATTATCTGTTATTGGCCAATTATTATAACACGTGGAATAATCTGGAAAAGAAATCTAGAACAAACCGATAGATGATCATTACCAACTAAGGTGCGATCTGCAATAACCAAATACGGTATATTTCCTGACTGGATTAGATTATATTCATCTATACTAAACTTAATTGATCTACTCTTACTAAATTTCAATATTTATTTGATCTTGCAATAAGTCTGTTCTACAAAACGTCTGATTCAACATGACAAGATCATGAGTTTTTGTTACTAATTTTCCATCTTCTGCACTATCTGGCCATTGTATATTATGATTCATAAAGTGAGAATAACGTGCAAAACCAACCTTTCCAGACCATTCAAAATCGATTAATTTTACATCAAATTCATCATTTTCAAGATGACAAAATAGAAAATTTCCTGCACACAGATCCCTATGTACATAATCTGAATCATGCATATACTTAACCACCTTTTTAATTTTCTCTTTTAAATTACTTTGGCCTTTAAGATTACTGGTAACATGTAGCATTAAATGATTGTCCAAATATTCTATATAAACCAAAAGCCAATTTCCAGGAATAAATGAAGTAGCTAGGATTTTTGGTGCATATCTAATTTCTGCTAAGAGCTGATGCGTATCAAGTAAATATTTATGTTTTTGAATAGCTTTTACACAGGCTTTCTCACATGATCCTTGCTTATTCGAGAGTGTAACTTTCCAAAGACAATTGACAATATTTTTTTCAATTTGAACTTTATAATATTTGTCGTCTATAATCATTTCGGGAAATAAAGGATGCTTAGGGTTGAAGGTTTGGGAAATTTTTCAAGCTAGTTTATTATCAACTTCTGCATAGTATTGATCGAGGAGTTGAAGAGATTTCTTTAGGGCACGAAATGTTTTAGAAATTGATAATTTCATTTTATCGTCTTTATGCCAAGCAAGAGGATATAATGGGGTAAATGGATCAATTATAGCTTTATCTAAAAGCATAGCACCAGAAACGGAAAAATAAGGTCCTAAAATGCAATCAAATTCATTCATAAATTCTGACAAAAATATATCAAGTCAAACCTATACCATATCTGCAATCACAACTAAAAAGCACGAAAAATTAGTCACATGATAGCAATCTTGTTGTTCCGTACAGAAGGCTATATAATATTCGCAGTTTTCAAGATGGGAACAGGTTTTAGAATAACAGAGTTCACACTTGAATTTCACATTAAGCTCACGATACACATAAGAACCAGAAAAGCTTATAGTGCTATCGGTTCTGAGTTTACCGCCAGTTTTTTTATTTGCAAGAAGTTTAATTGGTTGCACAGGTTGACCAAAATATTTAGATAACATTTCATTTGCGGCTTTTTGGTGAGCATCTTCGTCATTATAAAATTCCGCCATTTTACAACAAAATTGATAGGTGAAATAATTGTCCACTTTTTCTGGATCTTCCTTACAGAAATCCTTAAATTGGCCAAAAATTGAGCAATATAGAGTAACGGGTATAGAGCTATAAGTACTTTGGTGGACGACTATTATAGCAAAAAATATTAGTTGTCCGTTGTTGCTTACAAAACTCCACAGGCTTTCCAAGTTCTAATGCTGTTGGTAAACCTTCCACCATTTCAAAGTATAAACTTTTGATACCTGTATGCGAAATTGTGTTAGCTCAGAACATTTGCAATTGGTCAATAATTGAGATATCATACCTTTCTTTGAGTTAATAATTTGGATTGGATTGTTCTTCGAACACTTGTGCATTTCAATAAAAGTGATAAATTTCTCTTTTGATAAACTCATATTTATTTCTCTATTATCAATAACATATGTATAAAGGTCTATAGTGCCTTTGAGATGATTGAATGCTTCTTTTAAATAACCATGTAACTGAGTAAGATCTTCCCAACCATAGGTACTGAAATTTAAAACGATTGAATTTTGGTACTGGAAGTATAAAGTAACTAAAAATAAAAACAGTACATTAATTAACGTAAATGATATATCAAAGTTCTCAATTAATGAAGCGAAGATATTCATACTACTTATTTTTTTATCCTTCTGTAATATTGCTAGCCTTTCTTGCAACTCCTGATTCGATGCAGTCATAGCTATATAACCGTGTATAAGGCACAGTTAATAAATAAAATTATTGCAGAGAAAGCAGTATAGATTTGGAATATTCGAATGCAGTCGTGGTGCTGCTTACCTGTCCTTCGCCCTTGATTTTTTCAATCCATGTTGAGATTTTTTTAGCCAGTCCTCTTTTTAAACTATCTTGTATAAGTTCATTGATATTCAAGCTGAAGAAAATTTCACCATCAACTTTTTGTTTACGAATAATTTTGAAATCATCATTATCTAGTCCTAAGTCTTGCTCGCATAAAAAATATATCAGATCCTCTGTGTTTTTATATCTAACTTCATCGATTGTAGGAAGTGAAATTGTTTTTTCGGTAGAAGTAGACATATTCACGTATTTAGTTTTTGGATAGGACAAAAAAATTTTTTTTAGTAAGAAATAGTCATATATTCTACCTTTTTATAGTTTATACAAACAATTAGATTGTCGTACAATAGGTCACATATTGTTACATGATAAAATAACAATATCGATATTGTATTTTTCCGTTACATAAAGAAATATTTTAATAAATCATGGTCCCTGCATGCAGAATTTTTATTCGAATTTGTTAAAGCGTATTATTATCCCTGAAGAGGATGTCACAGTAAGGCAATATGAATTCTTAAACTATCATTACAGCATTGATTGTCGCATTTCATGACGGAGTAAGAAACTTGAAATTATTAATTATTATGAAATAGTGAAACTTTTACTTATCGCTTCTTTCCTTAAAAAATTATCACATTCACATTGCCTATATATGCTATCTGCATTAGTTACAATCCTCATATTTGTAGTTCTAGTGATTGGCCTGTTTAACCCGGGTGACCCGTCGGGCTGATCCGGATAGACTGACAAGTATTCTCAGCCAATTGCTGATGTTTTGTTTATATCGGGTAAAATAGGATGTATTAAATCCTATTTTACCCAATATAAACAAAACTAGCGATTGGCTGAAAATACCTGTCATCTATCCGGATCAGCCCAACGGGTCACCCATGGGTCAACGGGTCCAATTACTATGTAGTTCTACTCTCTAAAGATATGTATTAATTGGTGATTTGCTAGTCAACCAGTGAGAGGTCATAGTGTAACGTGACGTGGTTTACATATAGAAATTAGGGTTTTGCAAATGTGGGCTGCATCATTCTAAAACTTTTTCGTACTAAGTTAACTACTTTTGGGCTTCTAATTGAAGTTGTAGAGCTCATTGAGACAAATCTAATGGTGGTTGAATCGTTA